ATGTGAAAGGAATTTGCTTAAAATAAATAGACAAAACTTGCCTATATTATTTAATGAAACATGCATTAATGAAAAAATGCTGTCACACACACAATATATATATATATATATATATATATATTGTTATATACATATATATTTATTACCTCAATCGTTATTTTAGTGAAAACTCTTGTTTGAAATAGACGCCTTTTTTATTTCAAACTCTGTGTAGATGCGTCTATCGGCCTGCGCGTTCGAGTAATCTTAATAAAGAAAATATGCTCTTCGGCAGGCAGGGTTTGAACCTGCATGTTTTCCTTTTCAAACACGGGTATTCACTAAAATGACTTTGAAGTAATATATATATATATATATATATATATATATATATATATATATATATATATATATATATATATATATATATATATATATATATATATATATATATTACCAATCCAATTTGTGACTGACTGGTGAGGATAATTCCAAGGAGGGTATTAATTCAGGGAAAGCTCAATGTGAAATACAGAGTATAATAATAATAATAATAATAATAATAATAATCAAGAAGAAAACCTTAAAGATTCATTTCGGTTATAATTTATTTCGTGAATACCACTATATATTAATCTTTTCAGACCGAAATTCTTTTAGTAAATGTAGACAATTTCCCCGGACTAGATTGAGAGGGCGAAGGGAAAGCAAGAGAAAGAAGGAAAGGAAGAAGGGACAGATGGCCATGTTCTTTTTTAAAAAGTGAAATAGAGGTAGGTTAAAGAAAGAAAAGGGAACAAGGAAGAGATAAATGGATAGTAGCAAGCCTAAAATTGACTGACCTGGCCCAATTTTTTTCCTTAAAGTGTGTAACTTAGTACATCATGTTATACAGCAAATTGACATATATTACCTGTTATTTTGCGCAGCACAGATCAACATAGTTCCAAATTACTTAGTCTAATAAAGGGAAAACTTAATACAAATATAAATATAATAATGATAACAATATTAAACATAAATAAAGGGATTTTAAATACAGATAAACAATAAAAAAAATCTGAGTAATATGATATATGGATAATAAAACAAAAGTTATTAATTTAGAATTATAAATGTTGTATGCAACGGCAAGACAGTCATATATCCAATTACATATAAAAAACATAAAAATGCGTGATACGCAATACAAACACATACACACACATGCGCATACACGCACACGAACGCACACACACACATATATATATATATATATGTGTGTGTGTGTGTGTGTGTGTGTGTGATAGATACTAACTCAAATTTTCACGCAATTTGTTTAGTTTTAATTCAGACCCTTACTGTAATTAAATCATTCCTTACAATGACTTACATTTTCCTCTCGGTAGAATTAATGCATTTCAAAGATACAGGCCCCGACTTTATCTAATTAGTTCTATATTGTTTCCATTTTATGCTACTATAATCTATTTTGAACGGCCTGTTTTGTTTCGGAACTAAAAGAATTTAAGCTAAGTATATGAGTCGACTCCTGTCAATGACTACTTCAGAAGGGAATGAATGTCATCTTATTGATGTTTTTCAACGCCACTCAATACGATAATTCATTTTCCTGTGGCATCTAACGAAAATCTCTTTAATGCCATTTTCACTGATCGCAAAATGGCCATGTCTTCTGGGATACTGACAGAACACACCTGACAAGCAAATGATCTCGTTATATATTAAATAATAAGTAGGAATTTACGATTGGATATACATATATGCACAAGTGAACAAAGTTCTAAAATAAAGACTCATGAATCATTTTATGCACTTAAACGTGCCGAAGAGAGTAAAAACATATTCTACCTATAACTATCCTTAGCATTATTATTCTAGTAACTCGTATAATTTTCTTCTATGTATCATGTCCATCCTGGACGTAGCCGATCATGACTTTCCACAACTTCGTATTCTTTGTAGCTCTTAGTACGGTTTGTCTTTTCACCATCCCTCAAGTTTGTATTCTGCCATTTATTTATACAAGCTCGTTAGATCAGTTACTCACTGTTTTCGTCTGTCATTCATGCCTTCAGTATGTCATGTGAGTGTCAAATTTTCTAATCCTTCTTTTCTTATTATGTTTTCAAGAAATTTCAACTGCCGTTTTCTGATTCTAAGTATACATGTCTTTTTGTTTCCATTATATTTAAAATTTCATCGTTGCTCACATGTTCAGTCTATGGTATTCTTAGCATCCTTATCAAGTTTCCTCTTTATATGCGCGAAAATTGTCCAGCATTCACCGCCATACAAAAGAACTGATATTACATAGCGGTTCGGCGCTCTTTGTTTCTCATGAAATTTTCCTGTTTCTTAATACTTGGTTCAGCTTTTGAAAGGCATCTTTTACACAGGGATTTTAGTGTCACATTTTCGCCCACGTTTAAAACACTCCAAGATATTTAAATTTTTGTATTTGTTTATTTTCGGCATCTCCGCTTCTTAGCTCGCATCTTGGACTGTACCTGACAACTATACATTATGTCTTCTTAAAATTGATATTTAGTCTTTGTTTCTCTCTTTGTTTTACTACTTTCTCTGGGGATTCCTACAAAGGGTACATATAAAATATGTTCACGCGTAGATCGGCACTTCAGTCGAGGATCATAATATCTGAATGCTCTGCCTCAGGTCAACGGGCTCACTCCTCAGTTTTCTAGTTGGGATCAGGGTATAGTATCCTATATGTTTCTTCTCCTTTCTGCCATGCTTCTACTTTCGGGAGGTTTACAGTTCTGTAATGAAGGACCCCCAGTATCGGGGAATCCACCTCTAAGCCAACACTTCATTCATTGCATTACAGTGTAAGGGTTGGTAGATACCAATGCCAAGTTGACAGTGGTCGCGTTGACGGGCCCATTTTTGTCTCTGGTCCCCATCCCCACGACATTAAACGTGTCGCATCCGGAAATAGTGAGAGGGCGATTAATTAGCGGAACAAAGTGTAGTATCTGTTCTACTTCCTGTACTACAATATAACACATCAGTGCCAGTCAGTTCACGCAAAAACAATGAGAGTAGCCTGGACCTGAGGATACCAACCCTACGGTAGCACCTCTCTTATTACAATAATAAAAGTAATATGATATCTGCTTGACAGTAGTCGCAGAGACTGAGAAATATTTTTCGCTTGGCTCTTTTATATACTCGTATATCCACCAATCACATGTTACATCCTACTATCATTGGAGTGTAGGTAAATAATGGATCGGAATGCGCGTACCGAGGCATTCTGGCTGGGGTCAAAGTATAGTATCTCTGATGGGACAACGACGCTTGTTTTTTTTTGTATTCGATTAGTTGGCGGCCTGCAGTGTGATGAGCTTCATACCGGGGATTCCAACTTAGGCAACAGCATTTACCTAACTACAAGGATTAGAACGGTTCTTCCGCTTTAAACTTACTATATATCGAATTTACCCTCTGTTGTGGTAGGATCCACCTAATTTGCATCGTGGAGTACCGACCATATAAATATGGTTGGTACCGGGAAGATGAGGGGAGGAATCAAGAGATTCAATCCAGAGACTCTGCCCGACTGCGACTAAGTCAACACATTCTCCAGGAACGGTCTTCCCAAGAATATACAAAAGACTATATGTAAATATTGTGTACACTTTCTTGTTTCAATACATTTTGTTCTAAGTACATTTTGTGTTGTATTATTATTCCATGCATTAGTCAAGTTTCAACACCCTCGAAGAGAGATGAACAGATATGCGGGACAGAATGTAGTATTTAGGCTGTTTGTAAAAAGTATATATATCTATATATATATATGTATGTATATTTTAAGACATTTTTAAAAGTGTCTTAAAATAATTGTCGGACTTTGTCCATTTCATAATGTGTGACGTCATATATGTATATATATATTGATAATATTAGTAGTCAATATACACACACAAACACACACACATATATATATATATATATATATATATATATATATATATATATATATATATATATGAAAATTTCTCAGAGTTAACCTGTAGAAAAGACAATATTTATAAATATAAATGACAATAGGAAAACTGTAGTTATTGCTGACGCGTTTCGTCCAATGTGGACTTTCTCAAAGCAAAAAACGAAATGAATTTAATTAAAGAAAGTAACTAATAATAACAAAAAACAGAATGTTCTTAGCAACTGGAAGAATGTAGAAAACGCTATTTTCATATTGTTAACTGAAAATAACACCAGTTACTGTCCCGTGTGGAGAATATTGTCATTATAGCAGTTTTGACGGATTCAACCATTTTATATATTCCCAATATAGAATCCAGGTAGAACTCAATGTCCAGGACAGAGTAAGAATATAAAAGGCTCAAACACTAATATGCCATGGTTAAAATTATTTATATTGCAATCGTAATCACGATACAAATCATCAGACCTACAAATTTGAAATTAGTGTCTGAACCTTTTATATTATATATATATATATATATATATATATATATATTCCTGAAAAACATTGTTTCCAACGGTAAGTGGGTGATAGGGAGAAAATTGGACGAGCGCAGATGTACGTGTAAACCAGAAAGACTTGATTTGACTTTGTGTAACTAATTGCGTATCAGCTTTGCAAGATATACGAGTTGCGTTATTTGTGATGACTTCAATATCGTAGGTTTTCTGAAGAACGTACTGAAGGCAAAAAGAGGGAAACAGCAAGTAACCTACCTAACGAGAAGAAGAAGAGATTGTATTCCCGTAATTTCTCTTGTGTGCCCCTACGGTAACTCGTACCTCGATTTGAAAACTAAATTTAAGTATCATTCTCCCTTTATATTTATTGTTTCATCATTTCTAATCTCATTTTTCTTAGATTTCGTTCCATAATTGTGTTTTTTTTTTATTTATTTATTTACTTAATTGTTTACTGTCGTTCTTATCACTACACGCCTTCTTTTCTACATTCATCTCTTGAATTATCATGAATTATCTGTCCATCCTTATCTTTACCACAGTTTTTCCCACACCCATCTCTTTCTGTCTGTCTGTCTGTCTGTCTCTCTCTCTCTCTCTCTCTCTCTCTCGCTCTTTTTCTTTATCTTTCGCTTTCTCTCTGTCTTCCTCCTCTGTCTCTCACTCTCTTTACACTCTCTAAGCCTTTCACTCTCTTTCTATCTTTCCCTATCTCTCTCAGCATCTGTCTCTCTCTCTCTCTATCTCTCTATCTCTCTCTCTCCATCTCTCTTTCTTTTCTTTAGTTCACCGGCTTACAGCCATATCACGTTGAAACACCTGTTCCCGTACGATCACCGAAGTTAAGTAAAGTCGAACTCGTCAGAACTTAAATGTGTGACTTGGGAATACCAGGTGCTCTAAGCTTGGATGTGCAGGTGGTGTAACTGATAACAACCCGGAATTAGAAATTGGAGAACTGAGTTCCAATTTCAGTCGGGTTCCCTATATTCACTTACACACAAATATCCTTAGGGAAGATATGAATCCAGCGCTTCTCTCCCAGCTGTAGGTTAATTAGTAGAAATTGTATCAGAAAATCATTATTATCTCCAAAACAATTCTTACAATCTAAAAATATTTTCTGGCTTTAAATAACATTCAAAAGGTTGTAAAAACAAATCCATCAATCAATAATCCCGCTCGGGAGTATCAAGTGCTGTAGACTTGGATGTGCATGGGGTGTGATGGATAACGGCTCGGATATGGAAATCGGAGCGCCAAGTTCCATTTCCAATTGGATTCGTTATATTCACTTACTCGCAGATGCTCTTAGAAAAGGTATGAATCCAACTTTTCTTTCACCAGGTATGGATTAATTAGTATGACTTTTATCAGTAAATCATTATTATTTTCAAAGAATTCTCATAATCTAGAAATATTTTCTGGCTTTAAATAACTTGCAAAAGGTTGATAAATCGTAAAAAAGCCAAATCAATCAATCAATAATCCCAATAGCACCAGTAGTTGGTATACAAGCCTAGGTATAAAATAACACAATTAGTAATGCTTGCAAGCCATAACCATTTGGAAGCCTGGCGCCACACAACCTGATACACACACACACGCACAGTATTTCGTATTGTTAAGCCAACACTATGAAATACCTACATATCTCAGCCTTAGCTATCTCGGTTTAGCTATTAGTTTCAAACATTTATTTTTCTGTCTCCTCTCCCAATATGTTTAGATCCATTTCGCTCTCATGTTCCTTGGAATTTTCTGTGTCTTAATTTTTTTTTTACTCATAAAACTCTCTCTGAGCAAAAATCAAATTTTACAAGGAAATAAGAACAGAAATGGCATATTTCCTCCTTCATCTCAAAAATGAAACTGTAACATATTTGATCAATATCGAATTTGCAAATAAGAAATATCTCCATCTTTTCGTGAAGACTCATCTGTGTAAAGACAAAATTTGTGACAAAATCTTAATCTTTTGTAATAGGAAACCCGATAGTATTGAGTAAAACACAAAATTAATGTTGGCATAATGTGAATTTAAGCAGACCTTCCGTCTGTGCCTTAAACGGTAGTTCATGTTGATATAAGTTTCAGGCGTCCTGGGTATGACGATAAACTACATCCGCGTCCTGGGTATGACGATAAACTACATCCGCGTCCTGGATAAGACGTTAAACTACGTCCAACAGCAAGGCCTCTGATCAGGAGGTTTTGAGGAGCGTGGAACCACCTCTTAATTGCTGGTGTTCCCAGGTCCTGACCCGGGGTTGTAGCACTTGTTAGGGTCCCAGCTATGGGCAAATAGTTGACCCCAAAACTGTGGTCGAATGACTATGAAAGTGTAAAAATATGTTTTAATACCAGAAATACTTTGTAAAAAATTATTACCAGTAATAAATTGTTGAAAAAAATTATTGCCAGCAATACACTTTAAAAAATATATTTCCAGCTATACATTTTTGAAAAAAATATTACCAGAAATAGATATTTTGAAGGAAAAAATATTACAGAAATAGATTTTTTTGCAAAAAAAATTACCAGCAATAAAAATTGTCGGCATTAAATAACCCATTGAAGTTGATATGCCGTAAAACAAACTAAACGAAACCAAGCCGTTGTGGTAGCACATGTTAGGGTCCCAACTACAGGCAAATAGTTAACCTGCAAACTCGGCTCAAAATATTATGAAAGTACAAAAATACATTTTTATAATAAAAATACCAGCAATAAATTTTCATAGTAAAAAAATTACCAGCAATATACTTTTGGCTCCCACACGGCCCACCGGAGGGTCGTAGTGGTATGTCTGCAAGGCCCTGACGACCCTTCGATGGGTCGTTTTCCAATTTCTATGAAGATTACTGGAATTCTATGATTGATTGCGTACTCCAGAATCACATTTATTCAAAACAAAAATTAATATTTTTGAATAAAGAAAATAAGAGTTAGAGTCAATATAATACTTGTATACTGGGAAATTTCCAACGACCCACAGGTGAGTTGTGTGATACTCTGGGTTATAAAAATGGACTCAGGGGTAATAAATACTACCTATGATATCCTTGCCTCATATACGAAACAATGTTAAAATGTCCTTTGTAGTAAAATTAATTAAGATATAGTGTTAGGGTCCTGGAAGAGAGCCAACGTGGTTAAATGGTCCATAAGGTGCTGATAGGGCGCTAAACAAACAAACAATAATTTTCATTGAAGGAGTTCAATACACGTTGGTGTTATTCCATGAAGACACACATGTACTCCTTTCGTTCAAATAGAACAATTTGAGTAGTCAAATCGTGGGCCTCCGACTATCTGAATGGTCATTTTAGAGAATTGCTGCCAATGTTAGACGTGACACGTTAGAGGTGCTTCGCTAATGACAAAAGCGTAAAACAACTGTTGCATTTTGGATTACGACAAAGTCAATTCTGAGAGGATTTCGTCTTTTGGTTCGATATCTGAGTCTGAGTCCTTTTTAATCATATGAGTCAATAGAAAATGTTTTCTTTCATATACCAAACCATTGTAAAATTTTATTTCTGAAAATGTTCTTTATTGCTAAGCTTCAGGTTTTATTTGATATTTTTGTTATGTATCTTATGCTTCTATGTGTCACGTTCATTCAGAGCACAGATGATCATAGCTTTCCACAACTTCCTATCTCGTGTGGCTATTAGCAGTTTTTTCTCGGTAAGACTCCCGACCCCGTTCCGCCATCCATTCACACGTTCGTCAGATAAGTGATGCGATGCCTTCTCCTATCTCTCTTGCTTTCAATATGCCCTGTGAAAGTGAGGTTTTTCAATCACCCTCGTCCTAATTATGCGTCCAAGAAATCTCAACTACCACTTTTTGAGTCTGACCATGTGTTCATTCTGTTGCCAATTTCTTTAAGAATTCCTTGTTACTTACTCGCAGCGTCCATGAAATTTTCAATATCACTCTGTTTTGTGATGTCAATGAACACTCGTTGCCACTTTTGTGATGGCAAAAGTGGTCACTTTCGTAATGTTCGTTGTAGTAGAGACTTTGTAATCGCAAATACAACTATAGTAACGCCGTTGAACAATACTGGTGGCAGACGCCTTAGAATAACACTCGCACTAATAGTACTTGCTCAATAATACTCACATGAATAGTAAGCAACAAATAGTGATCCGAATAGTAATCCCTATAGTGATGATATTCACTAACCGCCCCACGCGGTCGGATGTGGCGCAAAGTCGAGTTTATTGTGGGGTATCCGATACTGTAGGCTCGGACAAAAATTCCCCGGAAACCCCGTAAAAACGGGGTCGGGTAGCTATCTACTACCCCAGACAAGACTCTGCCCTTTGGCATAGCATCATCTGGGTTCCTCTCTACACAGAAGCAGAGAGTTTGACAAGCACACTACCGAAGTAATCCGGATAGTGATAATATTTATTGTACAATATGTACAAATGTGGCACAAAGCCGAAAGGGGGAGTGGGGAAAAAGTATGGTCTTCTTCTGTCTTAACATTTAAACTTAGCTAGCCACTGACCCAAACATACTGACAATATTCCTTTCACCAAAACAACTCATTCTTACTTACCATTCTTACTTCATACACCATAATACCTCAGAAACTCTATGAAGTCCTAACTTGTCCCCATATATACAATTCATTGTTTATGGGGGGGGGGGATAAAATAACAATTAAAAAATTTAAAAATCCCCAATGAGTATTTACAAATGTGTACAAACTATATACAAGAAACTAAACAAAATTTTTATTAGTAATAAAACCCCCACAAAGCCCTAAATGTAGCAGTAACATCAGTTCACTGGACGAAATCAATGCGGGTCTTGAAAAAATATAAAACATTCATACATACCAAGCACTCACTGAAACACACGCCCATTCAAACACAAAAACAGTTACGAAAGTCACACCCGAAACGAAAGACGCCCCGCATCCACCAGAGAACTGACATCACTACCCACCTAAAGATGGGAGGGATGGGGAATTAAACCAAAAGAAAAAAATAGGGACAAAAATAAAAGGAGCTAATGAGCATACACACCTTAGCTAAGTTTACTAAAATGAAAAAAACTAAAACAAAAAACGACCTACACTAAACTATGAAGGGGAGGGTTGCCAATGTTCAACCTAGCAACCGCAATATCCTCCTAACCGGCATCAAAATGCCACTCTAAGTCAGCACCTTCCACTCGACAGAGACGCGCAAGACTCCCCCACCTTTCGCCAAATTCCAATGGATGGAGTCACTTCCTTTCCGTTCTGATCTTGACTTTAAGCTGATGCTTAAAGAACAGGATCAGTTGAGAAGAGGTACACTTCTCGGCCCCATGGATTTCCTTCTGTCGCGTCGTCCATATCACGATTCGCATAACCCCCAGTAAGCAAAGGAACACACAGTGCTCAGCCTTAGTCAACGTCGGTACTATATTGCTACAGACGGAACTGGCCTCGAGGACAAAGAACTTTCTGCGCAGCATGTGAACCATGATGTCTTCAACAAACTTGCACAACGGAGCTACGACACTACAATGAAAAAAGGCGTGACCTAGGATCTCCACCTTCCCACTGCCAAAACCGCCGAACGAAGTCTTTTGGCGACCCAGAGGGCCCTCTCGAATTACCAGCCGTTTATCCGGCAATGTGATGCTCGCCATATGCCGACTAGATGCACTACGAGCTTCCTCTGCACGCAATGAAGCGGACATGTTCGTAGCCTCGCAAGACATTCTTTTTAACCTAGTTCTAACTACTAGAGCTTGATCCTTCCTGATAAGCAAAGAGGCGGGATTTGATTTTCCGATATACTTTTGCCTCACAAGACTTTTGCGCTGCTAATCCTGCTAGATTGAGTCGGCGACTAAAATCAGCAGCAAAAGACCTATGTTTAGATTTGAGAGAATCCCACCATTGATTCCAAACCACAGCCCCCAACAATTTCAGCTGTAGCATTAGTAGAAGCTGGTCCCGGAATTCTTGCTCACCAGATAATGACAAGTTCAATTTCCTTCGGCTTATCTAAGTTTAACCGAACTCGGACAAGCATATGATCTAAGTAAACTATAAAACTTGGGCAATCTATGAGCCGTATATCGACTCTCTTAACTAGAACTCGGTCGATTTAGCTTGCGCTGACCACCGAATCTGAGCTGCCGCCCCTAGTCCGTCCATACTACCAACCGGGGATGCTCATTTCGATACTTATCGACGAGATCAAGCCCGTCGATAGTCCCGAAACGGCTTAAGATCCGGGTTGTTAGTACCCGATTTTTGTCCTGTATGATCTATATCGGGATCAAGGACGGCATTCCAATCATCCGCTAGAACTACCGAACGAGATGTCATCAGAAACGGCGCGATCTGCCGAAACAAGTCAGACCGTTGTGCATTGTCATTGGGCGCATAAAACCTAATGAGACGAAGAGCCTTATTTTTTATGGTAACATCCAACACGCAAAGCCTACCCGCCGGATCCGCGAAGACAAGAGCACACGCCGCATCCAGAGACTTGCTCACCAGCCAGGAAATGCCCCTTGAGCGTCCATCAAAACATACTCTTAGACAGAATGTCCTCACGGTCGAGAGATAAAAAATGGGTCTTCTGCACACAACAAACATCCCCACAGAGGCGCTGAAGATACCGATCGAGCCTCGCCCTACAAGACCCCGACCTCAGACCCCGGGCATTCAGACTTGCTAATTAGATAGCCATAATGAAGCCGATTAGGGTTGCTGTCCTGCATTGAACATGTCCGTGGTGAGGACACCAACGGCCGATCCCATTGGTCCAGTGGCCATCTCAACCGCGATGGTATCATCATGAGCCAGGCCGCCAATGTCCGCAGGATATGCTAATTTTAAGGCTCTATACAGGGATGGGTGAACAAAAACGGGGAGACTCCCTGTACAAATCTTCTTCATTTCCGTCATGTGTGCATCCAGCATGTAAGCCTCTGGCGGTACCAATTTCAAATGCATGTTGGCCTCCTCTATCATGCCCCAAATCTCCCGTGTACCCGGGCCAGCCTGCACAACAGTCAGAAACCTTTTTACTGATTTAAAATTCTCCGGCACTTCTATATCTTTTCCTTTTATATGCCGAAAGTTCCATAGAACCTTTAGAAGCTTCGTGTTTTTAGTTTGCCCCCAAACCCTCTCCGCCTTTTCCCGGGATACGCGGCAGACGTCTTCCCCTGGGAGATAAGGCGGTTTCATCTTTTTTTTTCTTTTTTTCAGTTGTGTCTTGTGATTCTGGACTTCTAATGCGTTTCTTCTGAGGTGATTGCGAAGGAGTAGGCCTAGGTGTATTTTTTGGCGTGGCTGTGGATGTATGACCAGAAGTGCTTTTAGAAGGGGAAGGTTGAGGCAATGGAATGTCAGATATTTTCTTTACCGGTTAAGTCAACTGTGATTTGGACGGGGGTGGTTGCAGAGAAGATTTTTGTTTTGAAGGGGAAGACGGGACAGAAGATGAGGGCCCCGGTGCCGCCAGCGGCTCTTGTTTTTTTTTTGTTTTTTTTGGGGGGGGCCCGCTTTTCATGTAAAGATTTTTTAAATTTTTTTAAATCCAAAATCTTCTGCCATCTTGGTTTCTTTAATTTCTGTACTTCTGTAGCTGTTCTTTGGTACGACGCCGGGGCGTCGCCCTTAGAGCTGGTAGCGGGTATGAGGCTGTAGGTGTTGTTAAGCCTGAGGTCATGCTGGGACTGAGGCCCCGCTGTTTGGATCTTCACTCTGCCCCAACCAAAGACACGCCATTCCCCTTCTTCCTTCTCCTTATCCACACTTGTGGAAGGCGTCGATTTTGAGGGTAATGTGGGCGAGGACCCAACTGAGGGATTTATCCTCACCAGTCCGTGTCGCCGGTAGGCTCATTACAAGCGCCGCGAATTTACCAGTATCCGCCAGAAGGGGATTTGGGTCGCTAGCGGCCGGAACTCCAGGGGCCTTCTTCCCTGGGCAGGAGGAGGAGAGATGACCAGTCTCTCCACAACTCCAGCACGTAGGTTTTCTACCAGTCACAATAACCGGCATTTTCCGGCCACAAAAATCTAAGCAGTTGGGGATGGAGACGAAAGCCAAACGATCGAGCATAATATCAACGCTCCATCCCCCATTCAGGTTGTTAGAATTGGCACCTAAAATTTGGCCGTGCTACATGAAGAAAGCAGCCAGGTGCTCTCCCGTAACTTGACGTGTGACCTCCCTGGTCCTTCGCCGACCTTCATACTCCGTTCTTAGGATGAGGTCCTTTGTAAATTATTCCTTCTTTGCCATATCTAGACAATATTCGGCTGTGGGCAGCAGTACTTCCCGCATAAAAAAGTGTTCCTTAGATAACTCTTTCGGGTTTAATCCCCAGGGACGAGTGATTTTATCATTGTGTCTTTCGTGGAGCAACAAATTTTGCGCGAACGCTTCTCCACCACGAAGAATGACACCATTCTCTTTTCAAACACCTTTAATTCTTGGACGTCTTCTAAGAACCCATCTTCTTTTACAAGATGTGCGTAGCCTTAGCCTTATCCAAAATTTCCGCGTTGTTTATAATGCAATTCGGTGGGGACTTCCAACAAGAGGGCGATTCCCTGGCTGTCGTCTTGAGCCTCCTTCGGCTCCTTATCACTGTCTTGTCTTGTCTTGTAACGGCATTCACCCGGCTCCAAGTGAATTAACCGCATCGCGCGTCAAGGCCGTCCACCCCCATCGATCGGCAGCAGAATCGACGGCATGATCGAGCCATTCGCGATTCCAGCGTCGGACCCCGAAAAGCGAGGATAAGACATGAGTTCCATATCAGCTGTGACCGCTGCGAGCCACGTCTTGAGTTGACCACCTCGGCGCTTCCTCCAACCAGTGGGTGCGTTTGGCGCCACCAGTTTACGGACGAACTCATCACCAGGCCGCCGCAGCACGTGGCCGAACCACCGGAGTCTTCTGTTAAGCAGAGTTTCTTCCAGGCCCAGAATGTTGCATTTGGCACGGATGGACGAGTTGGGGTCCGGTCGGAGAGGCGCACGCGCAGGATACGGCGGAGGCAGTAGTGATCGAAGACCTCAAGCTTATGAAGATCCTCTCTGCGAGACCTGGCCACTGCGCAGAGAGGATCTTCATAAGCCAAAGCCAACGAGATGAAAAAAATCTTACAAAAAAAGAAAACAAAAAACAATAAATTAAACAGAAAAAGGGAAAACTTAACAAATCACTTGTAGGTCGAAGAAAGTTCGTAAGCACACAATCGGTCAAAAAGTAGGTCACTTCCAGCCGAAAAAAGAGACTCAAGAATAGTAATTCGGAGAGTGATGATATTCACTAACCGCCCCCACGCGGTCAAATGTGGCACAATGCCGAGTTTATTGTGGGGTATCCGAGCCCGTATTCTCGGGCAAAAATATTCCTTAAACACCGTAAAAATGGGGTCGGGTTACTGTCTACCATCCCAGACGAGACTCTGCCCTTTGGCATAGCCGCGTCTGGGTTCCTCTCTACACAGAGGCAGAGAGTTCGACAAGCACACCTCCGAAGTAATTCAGATAGTGATCACTTAGACGCCACGCTAATTCCCATATATACATTTCATTTGCCACCATGTGAACTACTTATTCAAAATGGGATCGCTTGTGTTTGCTCTCTGGTGATCTGTGTTCAAACTCCAGTGTCGACAGCGACATTTATTCCAATATGACACATTACAAAAGTGGCAACAAGTGTTTATTGACATCACAAAACTCTGCAGAACCACATTTCCACTAACTTTAGGGTTTTCCTCGTCAGTAAAAAGATTGTGCGGCATTCACTGCCATATAAGAAGATAACCATTTTTTCAACTAAACCATTAAAAAATCAATTTGACAATTTTCCTTTTTGTACTTTCTTTCTTAAAACAAGTTCATGTGAAACTACATGAAAGTGTAAACGTCAATACTGTCTTTACAGACGCATTAACGCTAATTCTTAATAACTAATTGAGTTTTGTGTGTGTGGTATCAGTGAGCTAACGTTAATACTGATTTTCTGTTTCTTTTCTTTCTACAGCCATAAAATTCTAGAAAAGAATGTCCTCTTTGGTGCCAATTTTGTATGTTCTTCTACTGCTGGTTCCATTTCATACGGAAGCTTCTCAACAAGAAAATTGGCCTGCAGAATGGTGGTAAGAATTCGATTTACTATAGCTTATGTCTGCAACAGGCAGGATAGATTCTTTTGTTTTGGATTACGAATCGTAAATGCTTCGGATCTGAATCGCATTTTTAATGATTCCTCAAATAAGTAAGAATAAAAGACAGACATAAGTTCAATTTACCTTTAGAATATTCAATATTGATAACTTTTATAGATATCGATTACCTGTATTTTTATAGTGATTTTGCAAGCGTAGCTTAGATGTGGCACACGGACGAAAGCGGGGGGGCACCCAGTGAGGATCGAACTCACTACTCAGTCGTAATTGTTCTAGCGAAACAAGCTTGCTATCCATTACACCGCCTCGAAGTGCCCATTTTTTAAAAAAATATTTGGCAGCCAGTGAGAATCGAACTCACTACTCAGTCGTAATTGTTAATCATTATACCACGTCAAAGTGCCATAATTACCTTTATTTTTATAGTGATTTTCCAAGCATAGCTTAGATGTGGCACATGGCCAAAAGCAGGGGGGGCACCCACTGAGGATCGAACTCACTACTCATTATACCACGTCAAGGTGCCCTTCATTTTTATATAATCATTTATTCCAAAAATTATAACATAAAAATGTTATAAAATCACTACAAAAATAGCCATTTTGTTTCAACACTTCTGATCACCAGAAGTGTTTTAAAAAATATCGATTTTTATAGTGATTTTATAACATTTTTATGTTATAATTTTCGAATAAATGATTATTTTTGCTCTACTCTGTATTAAGCACTCCTTTAAGAATAGTATTTGTTGGTTATTGGAATTTATTCCGTATACACCAATCCTATACTTTATATTATATATATATATATATATATATATATATATATATATATATATATATATATATGGGTAGTAATCCGTTTGTATAATCCAGGCAAGTCCTATTAAGATAACATAGAATTTAAAATATGTTAAAACTGACTCACAAAAGAGAGCTCAATATTTATTCTCGTTAAACAGAGTAAATTTTCTTTACAGTTGGAATTAAGAGTTGAATTAGACTAGGAAACAGTAGTATTAAAATGTGCTCAATACTGTACACATATAAAAGATAAAAATTTAACATGAGGAGATTTGAAATATAAAAAAATTAGGAGCTCAGCCGATTCCGCCATCTTGGTTTCAACCTTTTGGTATCTTCAGACGATTTTGGTCAATTGATTTCCTAACGCTTTATTTAAAAAATAAAAATAAAAATTATGAACGCTATGTTTTACAAAAAATGAATAAATAAATAAGCGCACGACGTGAGGTGTGGTAGAAGGTGAGGAGGACGAGGAGATGAAAAACAACTGTATTGGAAATGTATCGATGGGGGATTAAATGAAATATACATACTTCCTTTTCATCGCACTTCATATGAACTCAAGAGGAACATAATTTTCGATCTCACATTCAAAGGGATTTTGGGTCTGGAAATGATATTATAGCTAATTTTTCTTGTTGACAAAGGTTGCAGATGTTACTATGATTGCTGTAAGGTTTTGCTTTTTAAAATTTTTCCAGTTTTAAAAAAGCAAAAACTTACAACAGTCATAGTAACATCTGAAACCTTTGACAACAAGAAAAATTAGCTCCTTCATCCTCACCTTATTCATTTATTTATTTTAAAAAAATATATAGCGTTCATATTTTTTTTTTTAAATAATTGCTGGAAATCACCTGAATAAAACACGATTCTGAATATAGATAATTATTTCTAAAAGGAATTAAAAAGAAAATACCATGTTCCTCACTTTAGTGATAAAATGGGAATAGGTACAATAAAATCATTATGTTAAATGTACGTATATATTCTAGCACTGAAGTTTTTTTAATATACATTTTATTCCACGAATTGTTTTAAATGTAATAATATAGCTCATTTTACTTATAGGCCTGAACAAGAACAGCAATCTCTTCGAGAACATCTTGTACCACTACAGACATACAATGACCATGTTGTTCCTCATTTTATCCGATATTTAATCCCAGGTATGACAAGGTAAGAAATGATACATATATTATGCAGGTTTATACACAGACACACACATACACACACACACACACACAAAGAGAGAGAAAGAGACGCGCGCACACGCACACACACTCTACATATATAAATATATGCACAAAACACACGTATATATATATGTATATATAATTCTGGAAGAAAGTTCTTAATAACCATTTAAGTATCTATGTGTATTTCTGTTGTGTGCGTGTGTGTGTGTATGAATACAATTTAACAGAAATTCTTTTCAAGAATAAAGATGAAAAATTTGGTTTGAATTAATTGAATTTTCTAAAAACATCAGAATTAATACAGTTTACACATATAGTTTTATTTTGCGCATACACACACACACACGCACGCACACACTCACTTGCTTACTCCCTCACACGCACTCACACTATGCAGTAATGGGCTGAGGAATCGCAGTGTCAAGTTCGAATTCCAGTCGAATCCATTACATTCACTTACGTGCTAATACCCTTGGGAAAAGTTTGAATCCTATTCTTTCCCCCCCCAGCTATGGGTAAATAGCGGGACAGAGTGGGTTCTATGGAACCTATGATCTAGAAGGACAACTCTCAATTCAAAACCTGCGGAGAGTCGTTCGCGACCTTCAAAAGTGTGGTTGAACGAGATCAGCCATATATATATATATCCATATATATATATATATATATATATATATATATATATATATATATATATGCACGTCAAATAATTAATAGAATTTAAGGACAGCGGAATGTTTTTCTCAGTAATTAACTATGACTATATATATATATATATATATATATATTATAATAAAACATTTTACATCGCTACACAAAAGCTTTCAAAAGTATTGAAACATGAAAGTTTTGTGTAGCGATGTAAAATGTTTTATTATAATCTATTATAATAAAAATATAATAATAATATTTACTCTACTTTGTGTTTAGAACTTTAAAAAAAAAGTAAATGCTACGAACTGTGGATTTTTACTTTATCTGTTCTTTCTCTTATCTCTCTCTCTCTCTCTCTCTCTCTCTCTATATATATATATATATATATATATATATATATATATATATATAGTTTAAATTTGATATATTTACGTGGGAAGAGTACTCCATATCGAAGACTGAGCGTTTGTAGGTATAGGCTGTATGGACACAGGAATCAGTATGTATGATTTCTCGTTACGAAAGGAAAACTACTATCACAAAGAATAACTCCAGTTTTGTTGCTTCAGGCCATACGTGATCATGGCTCTCCACAATTTCCTGTCCTTCATACCTCCTAATAAATTTTGTCTTTTTCCTATTTCTCCTAAATCTTGTTCCGCCATCCCTTTACTCAAACTCACTAAGTAAATTATGCGTTTTCCTCTGTTCCTCTTGATCTGAATCCTCGTGTGTGTACCAAATTTTCCAAAACCACTTTCCATTTTCAATCGTCTCATCCTGATGTTAATAATAAGTTTCCTTTTTGTTTCCGTTTTCTCTAAAACTTTGTCGTTGCTCACATGTTCGGTCCATTGTATCCTCGGCATCTTTATTTAGAACCAAATTTCTGTTGCTTCAAGTCTCTTCTACATCTTTGAGATTTTCCAGCATTCACTGCTATATAGGAAGACTAATATTACATAATAGTTCAATACTCTTTGTTTGTAACGATATTTTTTTGTTTCTTAATCCTCTGCTTAGATTTTGGAAGGCATCTTTGACTATCCCAATGCGCATTCGGATTTCAATGCCGCCCTTTCCGTCCTCTGTTGAAAACACTTCGCAGATATTTAATTTTTGTACTTGTTTGATTTTGGCATTCCCAATTTGCAATTTGTATTTTGGGCACATCCTTTTCTCGTAATCTGATCTCATTCTTAAACAATAAACTTAGGTGGAATGAAGTGTCTACAATAAAGAGTAGACTACCATCCATTGGTCCTTAAGGGCAAGGAATATGTCAACAACAATACGCACTATCTATCTATCTATCTATCTATCTATCTATCTATCTATCTATCTATCTATTTCCAAGTATAAAAGAATTTTTTGCTTGGAAATATGATCTGAGGAACCAGAAAAAATCACTTTCCTGGATCCTTAAGGTTTTCTGTTTCTTAATTAAACTAATATTCGCTCTGGTTTTGCATTGAGCTCTCTGGATTACATTCTCCTTAGGAATATCCATACAGATTACCGAACATTTCATTACCTACCTACCCCACACACACACACACATATATATATATATATATATATATATATATATATATATATATATATATATATATATCAGTTCTATGTGATCAAATGGTAGAATTAGTGATTTTGAGCTTCAGAATTGCTAAATTCAGAATACAAATACGACTTTCCCTATAAAATGAATGAGTCTAATGTTTTATTCAGTATAAAATTATTTCTTATTTATTGCGGTGTATTAGATCTACGAGGGGGTGCTGAAAATTTCATGAATTCACCTATTTCCCCAAATCTGTTTTTCTTTCAATTTTCGTAATCTTATTTTTTATTTTTCTTTGTAATTTTTCTATTATTTTTTTTTTATTTGTTTTGTAATCGCTTATTAATCAAGCTGAAAACCTATTCAAAACTGTAACGAAATATTCTAAATCAGATATTTTTATTTGTTTCCTTGAAATAACCACACTTCCCGTGGAAATTAACTTTTAAACTCTCCAGCCTTCACTCCTTTCACTAAATCTCTCGAAAGAACTTAAGAGTTTTTAAAGCAATATAGACATTAGAAAGGATTGGTTTTAAAATGTCAAGAATCAAATCGAGGAAAACTACCCTTTACGCCAAGAAAAAAAGATACAAAAATGTATATATATATCCATACACTTTCTGAACAGACAATGATAGATAGATAGATAGATAGATAGATAGATAGATAGATAGATAGATAGATAATCTTACAAAGTGTCTGTGCGTTTGCATATGGAATGAAGAAAGTGTGTCGCCATTACAACATACAGAAGAAAATAAGAAGAAATGACACTGTAAACTGGGCTTTCCTAACATTGCCATAGACTGTCGAATGAATCTGATATTAACGTTTGTTTATAGTAATAGATAGTCTGAGTTCGCAAGATAGTATAAGTTATTTTGATCTTTTCTGGATATTTTATGAGTAAGACCTTGTGTCAGACAAGGTCTGCACAATTAAAAAATATGTGAAGGGCCATATTCATCGCAGAAATGTAGCCGCAAGACACAGGAGTATATTTTTAGAGTAAATGATTGTGCATGAGTGAGATAGAAAAATATAGAGAGAGAGAGAGAGTGAGATAGAAACAGATACAGAGAAGGTGAGGTAGAAGCCGTCATATAGAGAGGGAGATAGAAACACACACACACACACACATATATGTGTGTGTGTGTATTCAGTTGTATGGATATAAGTTTGTGACATTAGGTTTCACGCTTTTGCGATCAACAGACAAACTGGGTTATTTTTTGAAAATCGAATCTAACAACTGAATATGTTAGCTCTATCACTGATATTGAGCACTTTCCAATAAGTACCGTATATATATATATATATATATATATATATATATATATATATATATATATATATCACAAACACACACACATATATTTAAATATCCGCTGCAATGAGAACGAAAGTAATATATAAATTCTAACGTCCACAGCATTAATCCAAAAGATGGGTCGGGTTAATACCGATAGTAGAGCGATAATTATTTATTATAATTTTATCATATAGACAAAAAAACGTGAGTAAACTGTTTTTGTCTATATGACAAAATTATAATATATATATAGAGATATATATATATATTTATTAAAGACATTTTTATTTATGTTTAACGTTGTTATTTTATAGATACAAGTATTTAAGCAAATGCTCTGTTTATGATAAACAGTATTAAATAACATTTACCGGCCTGAATGTCCGAAATTTTCATAGAAAATATTCGTTCATAGATGCAGGTTCGAACCTGCATATGAACGAAATTTTCTATGAAAATACGCTGACAGCCTTGACCACTAAATGTTATTTTATGGTGTTTAAGGTAAACAGGTTCATTTGCTTAAATACTTGTATCTATAAAATAACAACGTTAAACATAAAAAAAAATGTCTTTAATAAATAAATTGTCGGACCTCGTCCATTTCTTAACATATATATATATATATATATATATATATATATATATATATATATATATATGGTTTAAGAATGACAATAGGAATAAAGTCTTAGTTTTTGCCAACACGTTGTGTGCTGACTTTATCAAGGCAAAAATGAAAGCGAAATGTTTTTGTTTTCATAGTTACATTAAGTCCAAAATTTAAAAAGAAAGATATGCTTTTGCGTAAGCCTCTTTCTGGCTAATGTTAACTTCCTTTGTATTGTCATTTTTATAACAATTTGTCTTATCCACAGAACTGTTCTGGGATTTTTATTATACTGTTGACGTGGAAAAAGAACAAAAACTCTTAGTATAAAGGAAGCAATATATATATATATATATATATATATATATATATATATATATATATATGTGTGTGTGTGTGTGTGTGTATATATATATATATATATATATATATATATATATATATATATTTTAGTTTTATGCAAGTTGTATGTTTTCACAATAAAATTGGTCTTAAGCAACCAATGATGGCACAATTTCGAATCATTTTTTCTACTTACATTTGACTTTGTATAATACGCAGCTGCGCTTAGTAAATATGCCTCAGAAGAGGCATCTTGAATAATGCAGCATTTTTATTGAATTCTTCGATCTTATTTCTCTAACTATTACTATGCTCTCTTTCATAGACGTAGTAGCAGCGGCAGTGGTGATTATGGTAACACGGTTGGTTTGCCGATCTCTACAAGAACGAGATACAGCCCAGATTTTGGCTACCAGACTCGCTATTCAGTAGCCGAGGATGCGGCACAGGATTCCTTATGTAAGTATTTCATGAAATTCTGTATGAAAAAATGAAACTGTCCCTTTACTACTACTACTGTTATTAGTGATTATTATTATTATTGATTTCTGGTGTGTACTCCTTTCTTTCCGGGTCCTGTCCAGAGACCTAAGGTCAGAAATGGCATCATGACATTTTCCACAGAAAAAACAAAACATATTTTACACAGATAAAGCCCTTCGTAAGGTGTGGGCTGTATTCGTGAGAACAATTTTTTGTATTTCTTTAAGGCATGGGCCACCAGGAATCTCTGCATTGAGTCTATTGGAATCTTTTCCAACCAATCCGAGGGCTCCCACTACAACAGGGATTGTTGATGTTCCCATGTGCCACATTTTTGAGATTTCGATTTCATTATTATTATTATTATTATTATTATTATTGTCATCGTTGCTGCCATCAACAAGGCCCAAGAGCCACTAGAGGTAGAGGGCGACAGAGTAAGAGGTACAGTTTATGGGTATATGTGGAGAAGTTAGCAGCTGACCCTAAGTTTGAACAGTTTAAGATTGTAGTGATCGAGGAAACACCCCCTTGGGAGTCAGTTCCATAAAGCAGTGGTTCATGGGAAAAAGTTGCTCGAGTGGAACTTACATCTCACCAATGGAATACGAATGAAATGTGCCTGGCATATCGGGTTTTAGCCGTGAACGTTAAAACTGGTGGAAAAAGGAATGTTGTTCGTTTGAATATTTTCCGTAGAAACAGCTACAGAGTAGCGTGAGGCGAGCCTCATTTCGTCTGTGAGAAAGGTGTTCTAGAGTGGGAATTAATTAATCACCCACAAGAACGCGGAGACTCCTTTGGACTATATCGAGACTGAAAAGTGAAGATTGTCCAGCTCTTACCTATATATAACAGCAGTACTCCATTTTCGGCCTGATCTGGCTCTTGTAAAGATAGAGAACAGGAGGAGCTAGGTACTTACTGAAGCCGTACAGGGAACCTACCATTTCTCCAGCACCTTTAGTGATAGTATGTAAGAGTTCCACGATGTTTGGATCAAGTCCCAATAGCTACTCAAGACAGGAAGCCACTTTAAAATGACACTTATTTGTCGCGATGGACAAAAATTTAGGGTTCGATGATGAAAAGTCACTAGTTTGGTTTTCGTGGTAATGAATGTAACCAGGCAGTTTTTCCTCATAGAGCTGTTAATTCAATAAATAGAAATCCATATCAACTCCATAAATAAAAGAGACAGCGTCTCAGGTTAGTCGATCAAATTATCAGAAAAAAATATGTAACCTAAACTTTTATAAACTATTTTTTTCGAATTTAATCATTTTTATCACGTTTTAAAATATCATCGTTCATATCAGCTTAATAAGTGCACTGTAATTCATGTCTTCAATTGTAAGTAAGTCATAAATAATAACATAAAGTGTCATGTTTTGCAAGTTATCGATGGTAGATGCAAAGGTTGTTAAGAAGTTGATGTCTTTGAAATAATTTTTTCTTGAGATGACCTCTTGTTGTGTGATGTGGATTTGTTTTCCTCCTGCACTGAAAGTTATCAATAAAACAGATAACAGAAGATTGAGTGTATATGACTTGGAAATGGAAGACAATGAGAGAAAAATAATGTATTTTTTTTATGTGTTTTCTCATTAAATGCATTCAGTTCGAGAATTTGACTGTTGACGCTGAGAATGTAAGAAAAAATGAGTTCGACTTTAACATGCTTTTTTCATACAGCCGTGAAAGAATCGTTACTGAATCGTTAATCTCTTCTGCCTCTTTCTCTAATAGTGTGTTATTGGCTCTTCCAACGCAAATCATCAATTGAAAAGAAACATTAATATCACTCCCATCTTATTCATTTTTTACCTCCATCACGATCACGGACCCCGTAACTCAGTAGGGCCCTAGGGAGCATTACACGTACTACAGCCACAATAGAAGTGGTGTGTGTTGGGCAAGAGAGTCTGACGGAACTAAATCCTCTATTGGTTTCCTTCTCTAGACTGGTTGCCAAGCAAGACTATAGGACCCATTCTGTCCTGCAGATAGATCGATCCATTTCCCATGAGTATTTGCGCGTAAGTGAATGTAACAAACTCGGCTAGAATTCGAACTCATTCCGAGCCGCTTTTCATTATTACATCACCGCGCATCCATTCATCGGTACTGATGCCAAAAACAATTGAACTCTTAATTCATGGTAGTGGTACGGGGAATTTTTAACCTGACTGAATTTTTTATTAACAAATAAGAACAATTCGTGCGTATTTGTTAATAGTATCACCTTGTGATCATTAATATTATTTTCTTTTTTGTCTCTGAAGTGAAATCTCAACTCCGCTTCAATTCAGGTGTATCGAAAATACACCAAAAATGTGTTGCAAAATCCCAATTTATATTCGTTCATTCAAGCAGGTATCAGATAGATAGATAGATAGATAGATAGATAGATAGATAGATAGATAGATATGAATAGGTTGTCATAGATAGATTATCAGGTGGAAGCACAACAATATAAATATTTATTTTCAACCATTAATATTGTTTGAATATGCAACTCTGATAATTACATTTCATGTATTTTGAATCAACAATCTTTGCTAACCTTCAGCCTGTTTGGATGAACGATCATTATGACTTTCTACAGTATTTCTACACTAGACGTGTTTAGCCATGACATCAATAATGCCGGCATATTCCACTGAATTTTTATTCTTTTATTAAATAGTAATAAATGACGGCATATTTTATTAAATCTTTACTATT